AGACCTCCAAGCAACTATGCAAGAGCTCGAGGTTGTCAAAGCCGATCTTGCAGAAAAGGACCGTTTGTTGCGTGCCCGCGATACCCTCCTGGAGAGCGCCGGTTTGGAAAGCCGCCGTCTTTCAGAGATGCTCGAACGTGAACGCCAAGCCCGCCGACAAGACCAAACCACATTCGAGAACGCCAAACGCGGTCACCAATCCACTGCCAGGGCGATTCAGCAACACGAGTCAAGAGTCCTGGAACTGGAGACTCTTCGTAGCCAGGATCGCCAGAAACTTCACAGTCTAGAGAAACAATACAAAGAGCAGCTGCTCGAGCGAAACAATCTGCTATACGCCCTGTGGAACCGACTATCCACCCTTTGTGGTGCAGAGTGGTCCCGCAATAACGCTCTCATCAACGGAGAACTTACTTCGATGGAGCTCATTTCTAGGAACGTTCAAGGCTTCAACAAGAACATCATTCTTGCGGTCAGGACTGTGGAGAGTGTCATTGGTGCTTTCAAGCAAAGAATTCGCAATATAGAGAACAACCTCGTCCGCGACTACCAGACTCTTGAGCATAGCCTAGACGCACGCTCCAAGCGACTTGACCAGCTTGAGAAGCTTGTCATGGCTCAACGACAGTCGATTGGAAGACCTAGCACTGTTCGTGGAGGTATTGTTGATCTCAACACCGCAGAACTAAACAAACTGCGTACTGAAAACAAAACGTTACGATCCGAGGTCCAAACCCTCCGCGCCATCACGACCACGACGCAGTCTGGCAACGATGTTATTGTCAGCCGCTCGCCATCACGTGCTGCGTCGCCAGTCTCTTCCAAGCGTGCCAGTATGGCGCAAACGCTGTTGCGGGCTCACTCCGCTTCTGTAGTCGAGAATTATTCTACTTCATCGACGCCTGCGCCAGGCCACCCTTATCCTGCCGCTGGACCGCTTCAACCAAGTGAGCAGAAGTGGATACATCGACTCAAGGAACTTGAACGGCGGTTGAAGGCTGAGCGTGAAGCGCGACTCCTTGACCGAAGCGGCGCCCGGAAGAGGCTAGAGCAAAAAGTGGAAGAAAATGCAGACTTGAGGGCTGCGCTCGAAAAAGAGCGGGATCGAAGGGAGGAAGATGATGCCGAAACTATCCAAAGAAGTGCGTCTGCGGGCGGCAGTCGCATCGGCGGCAGTGGACGTGCCAGTGTGGTTGGCAGTGTGAGACACACTAATGGCAGTGGCAAGGAGAGGGGAGAGGATATGTATTAGTACGTTTCCTATGTTGAGTGTTTCTGTTCTTGTATCAACCGTTTTCCTTCCTGATAGACGTTTCAGAGATCCGCGTTCGTCTCTTCGTCTATCTTTTCTTACGAAATAATGTGTAACGAGCTTGCTTGGTTGGCGCATGTAGGCACTGTGGGTACATTTCTGGAGGATCAGCATTGCATACCAACTATTAGAGGAGTGGGCGTACAGCATGTTTTTAATCAATGGTATTTCCTTGCAATTCCTGGTCGATAGTGGATTTTTACGAGCACGCCTTATAACAATTGAGATCGTCCACTTCACTGGCTTGATGCGATGCGCCAACATAGCTCCACGTATGGGGAACAGGTTCGTTCAATAGCAGAGGATAGGGCTTTACCTCAAATATACAATCGACCATATCTCACTGTCCTTTGATATCACGAAGCATCGCTACGGCATGTGACACACCATGACAGACATTCTACTTACCGTTCACGACTCTCTCACCGCCCCGCTACCCAATGCTTGAACTACATTGTAAGGCAGCACCCACATATGCTTATGTTGGCAACGCTCCAGCTACTACTAGTATGTCCTCAACCACTTGAGCTGTTCTCTCACCTCCACCATTGTTGCGTACGATACATGCGATGTTGAGACGATCTTTACAAGATTGTAATCATGGCCATGAATGTTACTTACGCTCACCAGACCGCTCGGCAGCGCTTATCTACAAGCCGTACCAGTCGCCGATCTCTAGCTTCACCTTATCCATCCCCAACACCACAGCCAGCGAGACCTACCCAATCGCAGGACCCGCCTATCTGCGAAGTTTTCGCTACTCTGCTGTTCAATCGTCAGAGAGCCTACCAAAGTGGATTATGTGCTCCGCCCACATCACTTCTAGCACCAGTTACTCGAGCAGAAATGACTGCTAAGCAAACACCAACTAGGAACGCTGGAAAGGCCACTACAGACTTACTGAAGAAGCGCGCTGTGCCTGTACGCCTAACACAGGCAACAGCAAAACGTCAGAAGACCGAATCAAATAGCAAGCAGAAGCTTAGTTATGAGGGGAACATGGGCAACGGCATAACAACTGCATCAACAACGAAGCCCAACAAAGACACTGAGATCATAATAATATCCGATAGCGAAGATGACAAGCTCCATGCTGTGCGAAAGGGCAGGTTTAGTGGGCCAAAGATAAACATCCATGAAGATGAGGATGATGTTAAGCCTAGTATTGATTCTCTCACACCGAACCCGGAACCCAACGATAAGCAAGAAAAAGAGCAGCTGCGCAAAGAGCTCGATACTGCAAAACTAGAGCTTGATAAGATAAAGAAACTTCACGAAAAAGATAAAGACGACAGTGAGTTGATACGGGTTCAATCTAGCAACGCTACAAAACAGGCCACAGAGAGACTGCAACAAGAACTCGAAACTGAAAGAAGTAACTTGAGAGCTATTACAAGGGAAAGAGATCAGCAGCGCATCGAAATCGACAACATTAGGGCAATGAACGATCAGCTAGCAACAGAGTTGCAAGAAGAGAGATGTTCAAGAGAGGCAGAGAGGCGGGAGCACGACAATATAATGGAGGATGTTATGAAGGCTAAGGAACCAACCTCGAATGCGGCAAAAGACCTCCTCATCACTGAAAACGACCGACTTAGAACGGAAAACGAGACCCTTCGAGCCGCCGCCGCTACTAGACCACCGCCTATGCCACAACCCGCGTTCCTACCTGCTCCGCCCTCCATGTTTACACCACCGTCATCCCAAGTATCACAATCATCGTCATACCCCTCCATCTTCACCTCGCAAGCAGTGTCTCCTGCCCCTTCATCCCCGACCCCGTTTGCGCCAGCCGTTCCTACCCAGGAACGCAAAGAAGAGAATGTCCGAAAAGTCTACCTTAGGGTCAAGAACCAGTTCGATAATCTTCAATTAGCAGCTAGTAATCTGATAAAATGCACCCGAGGGATGGAAATGAGCAGTTTCGGGCAATTTGGAAAGTATCTGCGCCAGTTGAAAACGGTCCTAGAGGAGGATGCGAAGTGAGTTGAGCGGCCGGACGGTAGCGATAGCTGAGCATGTCGTCTTCTTGTCTATCTCTGCGGTAGCGGCTGACAAAGAGCACCGAAGTGACCGGATGATAGAGATATTGGAGAATGCCTAGAATGAAAGTGTGGGCGCTCTCATAGTCGATGGAGACATTTATCTTGAGTGCTTTTAATATCGAGGCTTTGCTGCGCAGCGTCAAGCATGTTTCTTTTCCAGGACAGGAAAAGTTAACTGCTTAGGTGCGTAGGAGATCGGTGCCACAACGGAGGTTTGAGGCGCAAAATAGATGCTGTTCGAGCGGATCCAAAAACGGATTTTTTGAAGTCTCTTTGCAAGTAACAGGTGCATAAAGTATGATGCTCCCTTGCCATGCTGGGAGTTCCTGTGGTGCACACTCTAAAATGTGGAAAGTACTGTTCTTGACAGGATACCAAGGCAGACTAAACCGATACCATCTCGCCACTTCTTGCCCTTCATCGGCGACCCCTGCTAGCGCAACGCGACTCCCCCAACCGTGCGCAGTTTCACACTTCTGGACATTCCATCACCTTCTCATGACCACACTGGAACTGACAGTTGTCGATTCTTCAAAGCGATGAGTTTCTTAAGCAGCATTTGGCAACTACTCCCGAGCGCGGACTGGCTGTTCGGCACAACTGAGCCAACTGGCCCTTTCACACCAACCTACGCTGACGTCTGTCACGCCCGCGCCCTCCTCAAGACACTTAAACTGCCTACTGAACTAGTACTCAGCGTCCTGGAGCATGCTCAATATTGGCCTATTGCTGGATTCTCTCAGAATGGACGCATAGTTCATGCCAACGCCAGCGCTAGCGCCAACAGCTCATCCGCAGCAGCATTGTGTCTCGAAGCCGAAATCTACTCTGCATCTGTCGTAGAGAGAATACGTCTTGGTGGCGAAACAGTAAAGATCAAGCGCATTACCTTTGATGTGATGAGCAGAGACCAAGGATGGACAAGCGAAGACACACAAGGCACTTTCTCGACGTCTTCATGGCTTGAAGTATCTATCTTGCGAGATGCTTCCAATATCAACAGTCGGCTTCCTACTCCGCGGTTGGTCAATACTTGGCTGAGCAGCCCAATGGATTACCATACTAATATGGTTGGTCGTGGCTGGTCGCTCGTCAAGAGGCCAGAGAGCGCGTTGCAGGGACCACAGGGGGGTGAGGGGGACTATGCGTGGTATTTGCAGGGCAATCGCGTCATGGCTTCGGGGCAGGAGTACCATGTTGCTTGGGAAGAGCATGGCCTGAGTGAATTGAACGAGGGGAATGAAGGCGCAGGTAGCGGAGAAGGCTTCTTGGATGCGTTGAGACAGGGAGATCGGGTGTTGGTGTGGGCGAGGGCCAAGGTACGGTCAAGACCACGAATATGGTTTTGACATCACAACTGACTTTCCGAATAGTACCCAGGATGGCGGTGTATCGTCGATGACGTCAACATCACTGTTCACTATGGCTTTTGAGCTCCCATCACACAACTGCCTCAGAAGGATGTTAGCATTACTCGTTATGGGGATGCAAATGCGTCTATTCAAGCCCCTAGATTGAACACACCATCTTGCTTTTATGCCATGACTCACTTTAATGAGCATGTGGTGAGGAGATGTGTACGTAAGGATCGTACAGCTATAAACCAGCATGAAACGTTGTGGTAGTCACCAGACATTGGCGCCTCAAAACCCAAACTTGCTCTTCATAGCGCCCATGACGAGCCCTCTCTTCTGCTTTCCAACAAACTTGTTGACATCGTTTGCCCAACCTGCACTGTTCTGCGAAAGATTATCCATGCTGTCTCCGACAATGTTGAGTTTCTCCGTGCGCTCATTGAGCTGGCGACTCGCCCAGGCACCCCAGCCTTCTTGAGTCGGGGTCGCCGGTTGAGTGGGGTAGGACTGGTACCCTGCGGCAGAAGAACTGGCAGCGGACGGGTTGGCGCGACGGCGTTCTTGCTCAGCCTCTGCGCGTTGTTGCGCCATCTGACGATTCGACAAAGGTCGATCAGGACCACCGACTAAGGCATGTTAGTCGATACTTGAGAGTAACTGGCGAGATGACTTACTGAGTAGATCCATGTCAGCTGGTGTGACGTACTGTGTGCCGGAGATCCATTGGATATTGCTGATAGTCGGTCGCGGCGGGATCAACAGCTCTGGGTTGAGCAGGATGTCTTTAGCGCGTTCGCTAGAAGATATCAGTATAAGTATCGCTGGTTAAGAGAGGACTCGACTCACTATTGGAGTCCTGTCCCGAAAACGTTAATTAGAGCCATCTCTGCGGGACCTTTCCAACCGAAGATGTCACCAGTACTTGTGATGACTGCCTCGGAGAAGCGCCGTACGTCTAGCAGCTCACTGAGATTGATGGACGCGATCTCCTTCAATGCAGGTAGTGAATAAGCTCTCGCACACCCATCACCATACAAACCAAGCAGCGCATATCCTTTGTCCTCATATCTAACCACAGTCGCCGCATCGCACAGGAATTGGTCAAAGGTTTTGTGCGCTCCCTTACTGGTGGCAGGGCGGAATAATCTCGCTCCCGATGCTGTTGTGGTTAGGAGCACACCACCAATCTTGGAACCATTTCGAAGTCCAGCAACGGCAGACTGCGAAGCATAAGCTGGTCGACCAGTTTCGGCATGCATGGGACAAATGCTGATGACTTTGTCGTCTAATGAGCACACGCCCACAGACTTCACTGAGTATCGGCCACTTGATTCTGGTAGTAGCTTGAAGGTTGCAAGGTGGCCAAGGTTGGTGCCCACATGAAGCAAGATGCTGGAATAGTCTTCATCTTCGAGCGTCATTACACTGAACTCAATAGAGGTCGGCCACTCTGCTTTGGGAGTCGCCTGAGTTGAACTCCGTCGAAAGCTGGCGCGCTTGTCTGGTTTGATGAATTCTTGTATCGATGCTCTGTAGATAATTGCCGGTCCTCGCAAATCGATGATGGCCAAACTGCCGCCTTCAAAGCCCGCAGCAACGAAGCCAACGTCAGAATGTTTCAAGGCGGTGACTGGTCCGTTGCCCTCGTCAAGCAAGGTAAGAGGCAAAAGTCCCTCTTTGAGAGCCGCTTCACTCCTTTGTGAGATATCTGTGAGCCCTTGAGCTTTGTTTTCACCTGGTGGGTATTCCTGCCCAACATGCTTGTTGACACCCCATCGGAACACAACTACTTCACCGCTCTTCAGTCCTACAGACAATTCAGATGCCGCACCTGCGAATGAGGTGTGTGTGACGTTGACATGCTCTGGTCGGCCGACTGCTCGAGCAACGTCTACCTGTAGCAAGGCAGCGTTCTCAATCTCATCGGCATGACCTGCATCCCATAATCTAATTGTGCCGTCTGCATGAGCTGTCTGTACTATGTTGCGGTGTTCGAATCGCTTGAGAGGATGTACAGCCTCGGCACCACCGACAAGAAACTGTGGACCGTGTTGCCGCTTCTCAGTCATGCCGAGCCATCGTGTGCGGTCTACCGGTGCCAGGTTCGCGTAGTTGATGTATGGATGTACAAGTGTCATGGAGAGATGCAGCTGGTTAGTGGGTGTGATGGGCATTCCGCTTGGGAAAGATAAGGTGATCAACTCTCCAGAAGCAAGTAAAGCGATAATCGCAATCGGATCGTGACAGCCAGCATAGTGAGGGGAGGTCCGTGGAATGAGAAACAGATCGACCACTTCAGTTCCAGGCGGGCATGGAAGTATTCTTTGCCTTTTGGGGTTCTCGAAGTGATCCGACAGTACTTGCCAGGACGCGGTAGCATAAACAGGTGTCCGGCCCAACTCGAATAAGGTTAGACTTTTGGCTGAGATATTGGATGGCTGTCCACCAGCGACAAGTATAGCGGTGTCATCTGGATCCTGATTTGCACACCAAGCAATCTTGAAGATGGGTGACTTGAGCGCATATGACCCGTCGACAGCACCTGGACTGAAGCTCCCTTGGCCTGGCTTGTCCACGTTTGTGTCGGTCAATGTCCTCGCCTGCACAACGCGGCCGTCCTTGGAGTCCCATATAACAACACTACTGTCTTCATGCCCAGTCAGAACAAAGGTGCCAGTGGGATGCCAGACAGCCTGTGTCAAGGGAGGTTCGCGGTCCATGTGGATGGAAGCGGGATCGGAATCGCCTCCAGGAGCTCCCTTGGGAACCAGGTAGTGGAAGAAATGTAAGGCCTTGTTCTGCTTGAACGAGTAGATGACGGCGCCAGAGTTGTATCCAATCAGAAGGGAGCCGATGTCTCGCGGGTGGAGCGATAGAGTGACGACGGAGACGAGGCGTGCGCGGGGAAACTTCTCTCTCCACAAATTGGGTATTTTGAAAGGTGTAAGAGCCTCCCTGGCCAGATCATAGGCGTACACATCGCCCTGCTGTGTGCCCAGAAGCGCATAGTCGATGGTCGGGTCGCAGTGGAGGGCCGTGATTTTGGCGGGCGGAGAATGGGCATTGAGCAGCTTCTTGGTCTCGAGCGAGAAGACGGACAAGTCGTTCTTGGAGTCTACACACAGCAACTTCTCGGCGCAGAACTGCAGGATCTTGACCGAGGCGCTGCGCGTGGGCAGCGGCAGCACAACCTCAACTCTCTTCTGGCCAAAGACATAGATTTGGCCGGGGCCGAACTTGCTCTCGCTGGTGCCGACGGCTATGAGAGACTGGACGGGGTCGTATGCGACCTGGGTGACTTTGGAGTTGATGCCATAGTTGCGGATCTTCACGTGCTGTTAGCTCTTGCGCCTGTAGGGCTGTTGGCGAGGGCGGGAACGGCGGGGTGAGGGCAGCGAGCGCATACATGGTCGAGCACAAACAGATCAGGGCTTAGGCCTTGGGAGAGGTCGTTGCTGACACCAGCCTGCTTTCCGCGCAAGAGGTGAGCCATCGCGATGTGTGTATTTCATACCTCTGCTCGCAAAGCCAGCGATGAGGATTGCAATCTGCGACTGACTGACGGACCGCCCAGCTGCTTCGCCGGCAAGAACGCGTTGCGCGACGTCATTTCGGCAACTTTAAGCGGAATGCAGGGTCCACGCCACGTCACAGCCACAGCTAGCAGTCATGTCCTGGGTGATGCTCGTAGCAGTCTGGTCAAATGAGATTAACGTCGGTTACAATAAATATGCTACTTTAGTCAATACAAGGCGCCTGTTCGAGCCCTGACACCGCGTCATTATCGCCAAGTACACGGACTACACCAACTAAACCACATGCTGGCAATGATAATCCCCCCCGCTTGTTGCTAGAGTTTCCGAAACGCCACAAGTTGATCTATGGTATCCGGAACACCATGTGAATTCACACTTACTCATCAAAACACCTTACGTCGACATGGACGCCCCATTAGCGCCATACATGGAGCCGTTGGGAGGTTGCGGCGTCCCTGACCCTTGCCTACTACTACTGAAACTGTTCTGTGCTGCAAGCCGGGCCTGTGCTTGCTGGGCTTGTTGCCTCTCAAGCATCATTTGCTGCGGATTGCTGGCTACGCCATTATAGGGGCCAGCGGCAGCAGGCGTCTGCGGAGCACCGTATTGCGATGGACCGTAGTAGGTGCTGCGCATCTGCCCTCCAGACACCGGCGTGCCGTATGTTGGCCGTGTACCATAAGCTGATGGCGTAGGTGGTGCGCCCTTCATAGGCGAAACATTACGTGGCGGCGGTGCTTGTGAGCCATTGTACAGAGGTGCCGCATTTTGTGACCGAGGATAGAAGTTGCCCTGATTCTGCTGTGCGGCATATCGATTTTGACCCTGTGCTGGTGTCGAGTTGTAGTACTGCGAGCCCGTGGCGCCACTGTAGCCACTTGGCTGTGCAGAGCGTTGCGGAAAGTACTGCCCAGAAGGTGTGGTTCCATAACTTGGTCGCGGCGTCTGTTGGCTGTACGATGGGGTTGCCGAATACCCTGATCGAGCATTCGGGGCATATGGCGCACCACCTGGTTGGAATGTCTGCGCGGCACCCGACGGCGAGCGTTGTAGATGCATTGAGGATGACCGATGGAGAGACTGCGGTTGCGTATACACTGGGCGAGCGCCGGACTGAGGCACTGACTGACCTGGACGGCTGTACTGATGGCTAGCTGCGGGATAATGCGTATTGGTTCCAGAGCCTGTTCGAGCCAAAGTAGCTGGCGCTGCAGTAGTCATTCCTGGTGTCTTTGCCAGTTTAGACAGTTGGTCCTCCTCCAGAACTCCCTTGTACTCTTTAGCATCGAACAGAATGGTCCGACTGATGTTGAGTTCGTCCATCTGGTCTCCGTTGAGTTTGGCGACAGCGTACGGCGGAAGCTGTGAGATCAACAAGGTAAGCTGGGACTTGAGAATCTGATACACATCAAACTCTTCAGACGAAGGTGTGGATGGGCTGCCAGCCAAAGTCGCAAGGGAGGCGTTCTGCACGACAGGTGTGCGTGGGTTGGTTGTAAGGGAGAGGTTTCGTATCCTTTGATAAGATGCAAGTGTCTCCAAGAGTTCGGAAATCTCCTTGAGTAGCTCGTCTGTGTCTTTCTCCTCTTCAGTCTTCTCCTCCATGCCAGGCAATTCATCTCCTTCGATTGGCGTGAAATTCTCCACAGCCTCCTTGAACAGTTCGTCCTCATCGGTTGTTCCGTTTGCAAGGGCCCGCTTAGCCTCCTCAGGATCGAGCAGAGCAGGATCGATTGGGAACATGTCGTTGAAGCGCTTCTCGCCGACCCTCTGCCACCATACCATGTTCTTGGTCTCTTCCGGGATAATAGCGGAGCTGTCATCTCGCGTCGGAGCAAAGCTCGAGTAAGCACTGCGGAACAAGGCGTCTTCTTTTGCGTGTTGGACTGCAACCAGGATTGCCTCGGACGGTGGCTGTTGCGCTTCACCCATGCTCAATGCCCGCTGTCTGCTCTTTTGCTTTGCCGTTGGTGAGGTCTGGTCCTTGGGCATATCCACCCCGCCATATCCAAGCCAAAAGCCCGAAGATAGATTTTGGTGCGCGTACGATTGCGATCCCTTGCGACGGGGTTTGGGCGCTTCTTGGTGCGCGAAGGTGATGGTACTGTTGCCTTTGCTCGTTGTCGGTCGAGCAGACTTGGGAGGGCTGATCTGTGGTAGGTGGGGAGGTGCGCGAAAGACCTCTCCAATGGTCGCAATCTTCTTTTTGTTGTCTGGATCGGGGAGAGGATATACTTCGGTGGTCGAGATAAGGTTGGGCAGATTCGTCTCGCGAAGAGGTAGAGTCACCTTGACGGCGGTATCGAGTGTAGATATTCCATCGGTGGGTGGTATCTTCTGGGGCTGCTGCAAGCTGGAGAAGAGCTGCTTCGGCGGTGCGCTTCCGTACAGCGTAAGAACGGTCCTACTCTGAGGCACCTCGGCGTCCTGCTCTTCCTCCTTGATTGGCACAGGGGTACCATCCTCTGTCGAGACGTGGGCATCCGCGTCGCCGTTGACGCCCTCTGCTGGGCCATGTGCCTTGGGCGCATCTTCCCTGGCAACCAAGTTCTTCAGTATGGTTTGGAAAGCAAGCACTTTGCCTTGAAGCGCAGTGTCCCCAGGTGATGTTGGCGCAGTTGACGAGTCGCTTGGGCCGTTGGCTGCCAGGATTTCGGCGGCAGCACTCTCGACATCCTTGTCCAATGCGTGCAAAGACTGGTATGAGCCGTCTTGAATCAAGTTGGCGATGGTCGCAGGGCCGCTCGGTGGGGTCAGCTTGGTGCGCTTCGAGTCGGCTTCTCCGGAGGCAGATCGCGTTATCGACGAGGTGATGGGGTGTGACAGAATCGAGGGCTTTGTGTCGTAGCTATTCAGTGTCAACATGCGAACGCAGACGGTTCCTCGAGCCCAAAACGCGTAGGCGCGGGACAATGTTTGCATGTGTCATACCTCTTGAGGACTGCCAGTATGTCTCCTAGTACGGCCTGGAGAGAGCGTGGGTTGGCGGGTGCGCTCTCTCCCTGCGCAGGCGTGGATGCGCCGTTGGCAGCAGTCCCATGAGGCGCTCCGAGTTTGCGTTTTGCGGCAGAGGGCGAGTTGGGCGCAGGCGGCAGCGACGGCGGGGTGAGGGTGCCGTTGGCGGCGGCCATGGTGACTTTTGGGGGGCTGTTGGCGATGCGCGAGTGATGCCGTGGGATGCAACGCGCTCAGGGCGGCCGGAGTCGTTCTTAGTCTGTCTCCTTCACAGCATTCCCTCCCCGCGATATCGGAAGGCGCGATGGTGGGATTGGCAGAAGCGCGTAATCAGACCCAAGACTGCTCCTGTTGACGCGCAGATATTCCCCAGAGGTTGGGTCGTGCTGCTGGAAGTTGTCCAAAGTTGACTTAGTCTGGTCGAAGTGCGTGCAGCGAGCGATGAATGGAACGCGAGGTGCCAAGACAGCCTTGGAACGCCGCATGGTACCACAAGAAACACCGCCTAGCGAGCTGCGACGATTGCCGTGCTTCCTCGACCGCTGGAATGACCTTGGTATCACAGTTTGCTATTTCCACAGCTATTCGCTCTTTACAGTCTGATCCGCTGTCTCTGGTAACCATGTTCAAGACGTGGTTTGCGACTGTAGCATAGCACGCTAGTGACGATGGAGCATAAACTACCCACGATTTTCTTACTGCCCTCGGCAAGCCATCGCAATTGCCCTTCCCACGCGTCTGTCCACGTTCGTTGCGTCAGATGAATGCCCCCAATACTCTCCCTGGCAGCTCCAGGTAACACGTACTGCTTCGGTCGTCGTGTGACGCGCCTAGTACCTTACTGGGTATGCTCGCTGCTGCTTCAAGGCTGACGTTTACTGACTTACTTGCAAGTGTTTTTGTAGCCCTGTTACCCATCGCCAAAAGCGAGGTACGTCCGTATTTTCGACATGCCGTGTCCAGGCTCCTTGGGTGCTTCTGCTCTCCCATCGCCCCACGACTCTCAACCCCCGCCACGATATAGCCGTCTGTCGCCATGACGAACCTCAACGGCCTCCGAGGCGCTACTCCGTACACACTTCCAAGGATGCCACCTTTTCTGAAGTAGACGAAACTGAAGGGCGTCCCACATTTCGACCCCAACTGTCCCGCGCCGTCAGGAAGGCCCTACGCCCACCTAGGCCTGCAATAGTCCTTGCCTCCATAAACGGCCCAGCCAGAGACCTTTATGTTACCCCATCTGATGGGACTGATCTGTCCTATACTGCGCCGCGACGTCCTTCGCGAAAACCCAAGCCCAAGACTGGATTTTCTCGCAGCACTCTTCTGCTTGATGAACCCGTCTCGCTCTATTCAATCCTTGCCCGCTTTCTCCAACATCACACAGCGACACCAACAGCCAAGTCGGACTTTTACTATGCTCCGCTGGAAAAAGAGCTACTACAAAATCAGGGCTACACCATGGAAAGCGTAGAGCGATGGGCTTCTTGTCTCGTGGCGCCGCGATCGATTGAAGCCGCAAGGGTTTTCGAACAGGGGGTTGAGATGCCGCCTCTGTTCTTACTCTTGTTGTTCTTACGTCGTAAGCACATCAAAGCACCTGCCCTCGACACCATCATGAGGCACCTTGTTCATGTTGCGTATTCAGAGTCGATAAGCTGGTCCCAACTTAAAATCATTACGGTTCGTTTACTCCACCATGTGCGAGAACACCGGCCTGAGTCAATGTCATGGGTCGCCTCCTTCTTCGCCGCCGAAGCAAGCCGCCTACATGATAATACAACTGGAGCTGATCCTCTGCCACCAAATACGCTTTCAGACTTGACTGAGTTTTGCAACAAACTCCTTAAGCTGATATCACTGCCGACACCTTCTCGACCCGTAGTGACCGCTGTCCACCAAGAAAAGGCCCAGTTCCAGATCCTTCAATACATGGCCAATAGGTCGCCTGCAGTAGCAGTGACGCGACTCGGCTTCCTATCCGTAGCGCTCAATCAGCTGGCTCATGCCAAGACACCACAAGAAAGAGAATGGGCTGAGCTTAAAGGGTCTGCCTGGCCTCCGTGGAAGGAGAATCGTACAGCAATGGATGAGGACAAAGGCTACGAGTTCGGTGCTTCCCGAGCTTCCCAGCTTCTGCACCGTATGCACGAAGCTGGATACAGCGGCGGGTTGTTGGAAGACATAGTGCAAGTCTATGCTGGCTGGGACAAAGACTCCAGTCCAACGATACAAACTCGGATGGTTTTGCCTCTTTCCTCCTTTCAATACCGCAAAGCTGATGGACTTCGTGCTCTACTCTGGGCTGGCCGCATACGAGCGACACGCACGCGCAGGGAAGCCTGGGCATGCTTCCTCTCACAAGAGCTATCTGAAGGACGTGGTCATTCCGCAATATATCTCGCAATGTTCGAAAAGTTGCATTACGGTACAGCAGAAAGATTGACACACCCAGAGTTCTCGTCTGACGCAGGTGGTACTCCAGAAGAAAGCCCCACCCACTTGTTACCCGGAGATATGAAAGAAGTCTTGCCAGACCCGCTGTCCACGTTACACCACGTTTACATCAGTGAGCCCGTTCCCGGATATAGAGAGCTATTTCAACGGATGCAGACCACTCAGCTCAAGCCTGATAATCATCTCCTCGTTTTCCTAATAGAGACGTGTTCCGACTTCGATATGGGCCTAGAATTACTGGCCATGGCTAAGGATAGGTGCAATGGCATAGTAGGCCGAATTCTTGATGGAACTCATGATCAAGATCTGCCATACCAGCCGATTTTAGGTTATTTCATCAAGGCGATTATCGTATTCTTATGTCGTCATGGACGTGTCGAACAGTCACTGCCCAAGGAAGTCCGTTTTCTACGGCCGGAACAGCATGCCACTCAGCTCAGGTCGAACCGCAACTACCTGGTCGAATACGCGTACATGGTTCTTAGACATTATCGGCCGCTTTACCGACCAGCTTGGGCTGCCATGATAGAGAAGCTAGCATGGCACATCAACCAAAATGGGGAAATCGGAACTACTCAGTATAAACGTATTTGCGACATCCTTGAGCAGATGGAGCAGCTGCATCTCAATGTCGACGACGAAATCTTTCTCCAATTCTGTGTTGCGACTCGGTATACTGCTCAGACCGCCCAACAAAGCTTCGCGTCCATGGAGGATACACGACATGTCCTTTCCACCAGTTCCCATCGCCTCCGAACGCTCTTTAATAGCTTGATCGGTATTAATGCCGACGTGCAGTCACCTTCAAATCACCAGACTGGTAGTAACGCCGTTCCGCTACACATTCCAGGACCTGCAGAACTACATGCTTACGTACGAGCACTAACTGCTCTCCGGGATTATGAAGGTCTTTATTCCTTCACCACCTGGCTCACCAAACACCATGTCGAAGTGACGGCGCGCGCAAAAGCTCAGCACTCAGGCAGAGACATTCTCTTCAAGATACTTGTGGCATTGCGATTGGCTATCGATGGTGGGGCTCTCGAGCCAGAAGCTGCCTACCTATCTGGCGCACCAGAAGACATAGCACTTCTCATCAAGACACAAATCGAGAGTGTTGAACAGTGGGGTGGTTGGCCTGAACGAGAACACGTTGACATGTATATCAATGGGCATTTGAAATCGGAACCACCTCTCGTTGGAGGACGCTAGACGGATGTATCATATGGGTGGGTTCCCTCTTTATCTCGCGTTTGACACCCTTTTTTCGTGTAAATATATGAGTACAAGCAATAAAGCCATCTCAAACGGCTGTTCTGAAAACTATTGGGTAGTTTTCCCTTCCATCCACGCTGTCACCTCTGCGAAATTCTCTAGCCATTCCAACTCCGCGTCACCACGCGGAAGAACAGGTAGTGCTACAGGCGCCCTTTTTGGAAATTCCGCTTGGTAAGGTTGAATTAGAACCTTGAAATTGAGCCCATGCAAGCTTAGGTGCTGCTGTTTTAGCGTCTCAGACAGGCGTGTCACTGCAATCACCTCTCTTTCCGCATTGTCTCGCGCCCAATATGGGGCATTCGCAACAACAGCACAACATTTATCCACAATGTCCGCGGGCGCAACCTGTATATCTGTAGCGTCCGTAATATGCTCTTGGAACATCTCTACTTGACTTTCATACGGCACCAGGGCCGGCCATGCGAAGCGGACAACGCACCCCTCGGTATTTTTCCACCTCGTATTCTTCGCCTTCCTAACCAGCTTCCTCGCACGGCGACGTATATCAGTGGGAACATGTTGCGTGTTGAGGTTATCAGGTGCACGATCCCTAAGGTCAAACGGCTCCTTCAGACGAGTTGGATAGGTTTCGTAGATATCTGCCAAACGGTAGAGCTCGGCTGCCATTGTTTCTGCCCTGAGCAATCGAAATTGTTGGTACATGTCGATGAATGTTGCTAGATCGTCGATACTGAACGGCAGATCCTTCGAGAGGTATGCGTACCCGTGGTACACCGCGTCTTTTATACCTAGCTTGGGGATCTTGGAAAAGATAGCTTTGGCTTGCGGGGACAATCGCGGGAGCCATGGTTCAATGAAGCGTGCGTAGTGCTCGTGGAACGCAGACCACGTTCTGTCCATGACGATGGAGTTGAGTTCCGCGAGGAAAGTTCTTGCGAGTTGGTGTTCAGCAAACCTGGACCGATTTTGAACATCTGCTGGTAACCATCCGTATGCAGTCGCCTTCCAGTCTTCATTGCGAAAGAACAGAAAAGCTAGGCTGCGTTCGAATATGTATGGTATTTCGTCCTTGGCCTTTGGTTGGACGAAGCACAAACGCCTTACGCTGTCTGAGATGGAGAGCAGTTTTTGCCATGTGCTTCTGTCTTCAGCACGGAAGTGATTGCCCCAAGCTGAGATGCTGTTTTCAAGGGACCAAGTGAGGCGGGGACCAGCGCATGAGGACAGGCGGATTAATTGCGAGAATTCAAGGTCGTTCAGTATGTCTCCATGGAGCTCACAAGGGAGCTTTTCGAGATCCTGCGCGATGCGCTGGAACCTTTTAGTTGCTAGCATAGGTTTTTTATTTTCCTTTGGTGCTTGATTGGTTTTGGCCTGGGGCAGGCACAGGACCAGACCGGAGGTTGTGAATCTTCCAAGTGTGTGGCTTGCCTGTTAAGATGCGAATAGTTATGATTGAAAGGTACCTCTGTTCGTTCTCTGCTTTATGAGAATAAAACCATTTGCGCTTGCCATTCGTCAAATGTTACTGCCTGGCGTCCGAGTCATGGAAAGGGCGCCGGTAGCGTCAGACATGCCGCCCTTAACCAAGGTCCACTATCAGCAACTACCTCGAATCACCTTGTGAGCGCCCACTTTTTCAGACACCCTTAGAACCGAAAGGAAGCTTATGGTATACCTGGTGGGCTATGGCAAACCCCAATTTCTTGCTATTCCCTCAAATGTGTCGCTGCGTCCGAATGTAACGCGAACTTTTTTACATACCTGCACTCGTAGCCTACCTGAATAGTTACACTGCTGCAGTGTTGAGAAAACAAGATACATATCAACTCTCCGTATCAAGAGTACTGTCTGCTGCTATGGCACACTTCTCGCCGTCATTAGCAGCACATTGCGCAGCCACCGCTGCACCACAAGATATATCCAATTGGCTGCGAGATGATGAAGCGCTCATCAGCGCTCAAGGGAATTGCAGCTGGCTAGCTTACTATCTACCGGAATACGAAACCGAGAGAGGGTTAGCTATCGCGACATGTCTTACACCGTCGCCCGCTTTGGGTCACGACATCAAAAAACTCATCTACAAAAACGTTCTGAGCAGGATCCGCCGGCATCTGAAGAGAGGTGGATCGAACACAACGCCGGACGGAACTGTCCATGAAATTAAAATCGCCGAGCAGGCGATACCTCATTCGGAACTCTCGACTACCTTGAGAGTTATTGCGCATCTACAAGAGGCTGCTATAATCCAGCGAGACACCACAGCTGGCACTATCATGGCTTGGTTGGAAGAGCGAGTTACTCCCAGTCGACACACCATCTCAGAGTCTGCTCCACACGAGGCGGAAATTCCAAGACCAGCACCGACGCCACGCAAACGTTTGTGTTACATCTGTCGTATGGCTATGACCACTTCATACCCTCCTCAGCCCGCCATGTGCATACCCTGCGGTTCCTTCAACCACTCTTCTTCCATGCTTTCGACCCCATCAAAGCTGATCTTGCCACATACCTTCACCGCGCTCGTAACAGGAGCGAGAGTCAATCTTGGCTATCACACGGCATTGCGTCTTCTGCGTTGTGGTGCCCGAGTAATCGTCACGACACGATATCCGCTTGATGCTATATCACGGTATATCGAAGAGCCTGACTCCCATGTATGGAAGGATAGATTAAAAGTAATAGGTGCGGATTTCAGGTGTGCGAAGGACGCGCACGATTTGGTGCATGAAACGAAAAAATGTCTGAAGCAATGGGCTCATGGAGGGGCTGTGAGATTGTCCGCACTGATCAATAACGCAGCGCAGACACTTACAGACAGCGTAAAAAGAGAAGAACATGCCATAGAGCGAGAGAAAGCTTTGGGTAAGCGTTTAGTACACCGGGAACTATTGATTGAGGGGAATTACACGACCAGAGTGCGAGGACGAGAACTGCCAATGAGACTGCTAAACGCTGGGTCGACTAGTGTGCCCTCGGAAAGCTCTCTGGAAAAACAAACAGGCGCTGCAGGCTCGGCAGACATACTCGATATGTCGTACAAAACAACCACACAAGTAGAGCCCTACACCAAATCCTCCTGGGTGCAATCTATATCTGAGATACCATACGAAGACGTTAGTTCCGCTCTCTCAGTCAACACGTTCGTCCCTTTCATCCTTTGCCGGGAACTCCTTCCTCTTATGGGCTGCAGTAGTATTGAAAGACCTACCAAGCCTCGAGGCTACATAATCAACGTCTCTTCCCGCGAAGGCATATTCGAGTCACACACCTCTTCATCTGCAAAACGAGGCAAACACGTCCACACCAACATGTCCAAAGCCGCACTCAACATGCTTACCGAGACAGAAGCAGAGCCTGCTTGGCGCAAGAAGCGTATCGCCATGAACACAGTGGATCCGGGATACATGAGTGCGGCGCCTGAGTACGAAGATGCTTTCGAGGGCATGAGGCCGATTGGCTGGGAAGACGGGGCTGGGAGGGTGTTGTGGCCGATTGCTGTGGCGGAGATGGGAGAGAGAGTTGTTTGGGGAAGGTTTTTGAAGCACTATGGAGCTGTGGAGGGGGAGGCGGGTAGGGGGTGATGGAGGAAAGGGTCCAGCAGTACTATCCAGCTGACCTGTTCTGTAGCGTCTTGTTCCATATCTGTATGTATCCTTTTATCGTAAGGCAAGAGGGTATCTAAGTGTTGGTACAGTAATGACAAAGATCACGAGGCATGGCTGCCGTGTCTAAATGGCTAGTGTCCGGAGTAATATAACGGGCCAGACGCGTGACGCGGTAAGGGAAGGGTCAGGGTTTAGCTTAAACAGCTCTGCCGAAGCCAGCCCCGCCGAAACGTCAAACTGCAATCGAGCATCTCTCCAGTCTCCAGCACGCCGCTCCGTCAGTTCACTCTGGCGCTGGTAAACGGCCAAGTCGCATTCGCACGCCAATTCTATATACGTGTGTGGAATTACATTACCTAACAGTACACTCTGTTCACTTGGCTAGGCAGCCGTATCGTGGGGCCGTACAAGTACAGGGCCGACAGTTAGCAAAGCACTGGACAGACACACGACTACCCACCGCTCGACGAGCCGAAACCCAACCATCCACCATGGCATCCTTCTTCGAACAGCTATGGGAGTCCATCTTCATTGCGGGGCCGACGCCCACGCTCCTTATCGCAACAAACGCCTCGTTCGCCGCGCTCCAGGTCCTTTTGTTCGTCATGCTCATTGCGACGTACAGCATACACTTTGTTATTCTCTCGATTCTGTGTGGAGGGCTTTGGTGGTCAATCAACTGGTTTGCGACGGAGCTTCGCGCTGCCCAAGCCAAGGAGGAGGAGGCAAAGCGCATCCGGGAAGCCAGAAGGGGCAGCAAAGAGAAGGGTGACGCAGGCGACGACGGAGAGGGAATGGACACAGGCGACGACACCGAGGTCGACACCGAGGTTGAGCAGAAGCAGACCCTCAAGCCCAAACCCAACCCGCCGCGTGCGCCACGCCCGGAAACACAGAGTACCGTATTCGTTGAGAAGCCTGACGGAAGTGAGCCAGACAGCCCAACACAGCACTCGGCTTCTGCGGGCCGTGGAGGCCCTACTGCTGCTAGCACTACGGGGGCGACGACGAGTCTTGCGGCACCTGTAGAGGATGCGCTGAAGCGAAGGAAGGGCATGGGAGAATCAACCGGCGACATATCAACCGACAGCGAGTGGGACAAGCTGTCGGAGGACTCTGAGGATAAATGAAAGGTAACATGGTCTTGTTAAACGCTATTCAACACTGTTGCGTATATTTGGAAGCTAGACGCGATTAGACTCTGTGGACCTGTACATCCATGTCCTTACACGTGAACACGCGCTGCCGCCTTTTGTTACCCTGCATATGGGATATCGCTGCCAACAAATTCCCGGTACCATGTCGCCATGGTTTCCACCTGCACCCTCTGCCCTTTGTGCCTTTCCACTTGATGTTCGTTCCCTGTGCTTGATGCCCAACCATGTCATGACGGACTGACCGTGCTTGCCACACGCCGCACCAGGGCCCTGGATGCCCCGCCTTGATGCAGCATTCACCCATCACAGTGCCACAGACTTGATTGTCTTGATGCAGCGCTCGAGATAATCCTCACATGTTGCTGATGAGGACGCGTAACCCTTAGCCGCACCGGTAGCGGTCCTGCTTGTCGATAAGTTGTTGCCTTGAGGCTCAATTCGCGAATACCCAGTTGCTTGTACCTCGTGCCCACCCCGCCACATCCACAACACTCGCCCTCATGGCTACCATCAACACCCCCGTGAGCCTTCCTGAGGTGACGGAACAAGCCGGGAACTACACATACAATGCACACATTCCGTTGGCGAATTGGCTGCGCACAGCCAGTACTATGCAAAAAGAGGCCCAAGTCTATGAAGCAGAGGGCAACGACGCGCAGACCTATCTCCTCCTGTACCGACACGCCGATCTCATCCTTCAAAAGCTACAGGGCCATCCGGATAGAAACAAACCGGAGAACCGGAAAGCGCTGAATGCTGCAACGGCAGCCGTCAGTCGAGATCTGAAGAAGCTCGAGGAGATCGCGCCGCGCATCAAGAAGAGACATGAGGAACATGAAGAAAGGAGACGGAGACAGAAGGAGGCTCTAAGGTCGTTGGAAGGAAATGGCGTCGGAGCGCTTCCCCAGGAGCTGGACGGGCTGGCCATTCAAGACCGAGGGTCCAAGAGAAGGTCATTTGATTCCAGACCCACAATCGATGCACGCTCTTTGGAAAACCAATCACTGGCCGCAAGACTGGCGCAGAGGGAAGTTCGGAGGAGAGACACGATTAGAAGAGGTGTGCGACAGTATGGTGTGTCGGAAGAAGAGGAGCAGGCACGTCGAAGTGGAGGCACATGGGACAGCTGGCAGAACCAGCTCAGCCAGCCAGCGGGCGACGGAGATGATATCTCGAACCAACTGCAAGAAGTTGCAAGGCTCCAGCAGAACGGCCATAGAACATCATACTCCTCGGTGCGCCCCATGCAACAGTTTTGTGGCTCCTGTACTGACAAATCCAGCGTCCCACGTCTCAGACCGCGTCTCCATATCACTACCCTACCGTTCCATACAAGACCGCTCAAGACAGATGGTCAGACTCAAAGTCGCGCGACGCAGCACCTGCGCGACCTCCGAAAGAGCAGATATACAGACAATCCGGAACACCGTCAGCGCCACCACCCTTGCCGCCCAAGTCGCCAGCTTCTACGTACGACGCGCGATTCCACCACTCGCGGCCTCCGCCTGTTCCAGGCAAGATCTCCGAAGGCGCGCCACCTCTACCAAGCAAGATACCCGACCAAAGACCGTTGACTCCTTCAGCCGAACTCGACGAGTTTACATTCAAGCCTTCTGCATTCCTCGAGAATGGCGACCCCCTTCGTCCTGTCTTTCTCCCGTCCCAATTGCGCAATCAGTTCCTGGCTGTTGCTTCGTCCAACACACGTCTCAACTTGGAAACATGCGGTATGTTGGGCGGAATATTGAAGTCTAACGCCCTCTTCATTACACGGCTTATCATTCCCGAGCAAACAAGTACAAGCGACACATGCGAGACGTTGAACGAAGAGGAGCTATTCGACTACTGCGACAAAGAGGAGCTCATGGTTCTTGGCTGGATCCATACACACCCAACACAAACCTGCTTTATGAGCAGCAGAGACTTACATACGCACGTCGGATACCAGGTCATGATGCCGGAAAGCATCGCAATCGTTTGCGCACCGACGAAACAGCCTAGGTATGCTGATATCCTCACGACCGCGTTCGAGACACTGACCATGTTACAGTTGGGGATGCTTCCGCCTGACTGACCCCCCGGGCAAACAAGCTATTCTCAATTGCAGCCGACCTGGTATCTTCCATCCTCATGATGTCGATAACATCTACACAGAAGCCTTGAAACCAGGCCACGTAGTTGAGCTGACCGATGCGCCGCTGGAGATTGTTGATATGAGGCCCAAGAAGAACTTTTAAAGACTGCCTTCTCTACACTTTGAGGACGATATGACTGCAAAACCAATACCCAATCCATGGAGATTATCCATCACGAAGGAACAAACCTTACCGCATAGCGAGGAGTTTTTGTGCATTTGGGATTCTATGAATCTGCTGGTGTGTTTCAACAGGATTAAATGTGGTATGCCTAAAGACCAGCATACGAAATCAGTGTTGCCCGAGTATCACTGTCCTTTTGGCGAAAACCAGCATTTACAGAGTAAATGTGTCGAGTAGAGTTCGAGCATCTATCTCCACCGTCTCTTTCTCGTTTTGGACGACACAATGTCCCGCTTTTTCCCTGTGTCCCCATGCCCGTCATCCGCATTGTATACTTGCCATCCAATAGGTCAATTGGGTGAGTAGCTGAACACCTTCATCACTTCGTTCCAAAACATAGATCATCAGTCATCGACCGATTGCAAAAATATGAAAGAGCAAGATCACTTCACATTGATCGTCGGTACTGTTGATGGCATGTTACGTCGATACTTATGTGCTACGCTGATCTTAACAATCTTCCCAAACTCGATACAAAGAAGCAACAAGCAGCTCACTTGGCACTGCACCGGCAGGTTCCGTTTATCTTTAGATGAGTATGGGGAATGAGATTGCTTTTCTTTCCCACCCCACGTGCGAAAAGAAAAACCTGTTCACGCATACCACTACATTGGTATCGAACATCGAACCCGACATTGAACCGGGCCCAAGCACCCCTTCCTGCCAAGAAAACACATCTACATCGCAGATAAAACAGTTCACGATCGTCGACGTCATCGCATGAAGGCGTTAAACAAATCATCTCAATTCCACCTACCACCTTAGTCGGCTGCTGCTATCGGATAAGACCCGTGCCGGTATCCGAATTGCCGACCGATAACTGCTCCCCGAAACATTTCGGGAGATCGACAAATCGACAATGGCATACATGTAGCGTTCTCTTTCTAGTGCTGTCCTGCTCTTTGGCCAAGGAATCATTCGTTCGTATGCATATATGCAATATGCCATGTTGCCGAATGTGGACAGGGGATGATGCCTCGAAACAGGTTTCCGTCTGCTGGGTTCTGATGTAGTCAAGGGCAGACTGGACCTGAGTGTCGTACCAGGCCCGCACGAAGCTAGTTGTCAGGGCTATGGGGGTTTGGTAGCGTGGTTCACCGTATTGAGAATATCGCGCGCCGGAACGGAGGGTCGTAAGGCGTTCCATTCATTGGTTTGCAGGAACGCGTAGTGCGCAGGAGGGAAAGTCAGGTTTCTTGTGGTATTCAGTGTTCTAGATGGGATTTCGGATCAAGCCGAAGGATCGTTAGTCTGAGGGGGTTGTGGATGTAAGAATGACTGTAGAGCATGTCATGCATGCAGGCGGGTACAGTGGGTATGTTGGGCGTAGACGCTCCCGTGGCATCGCTGATGCACTCACGCGTATCTGATCGAATTCGTAGCTGTCGCACATTGTTTTTCGTGAGGCTCAGTCAAGATTCCCATGCCAGCCAGCCACCGCGAGCTCAATTCTTCATAGTACAAACACCAAGAGTAATCATCGCATTCGGCGATGAGATCGGCAACCCCAAGAGAACACCAATATACTTTCGGTATATCTACGCTAGCCGCATGGCTTTGCTTCTTCTACGTTGTTCTTAGTTAGCCAACGGAGCTTAGATGTTTTAGCATATGTTGGGCGTGTATCGAAAGGAAAACTTCGCACATCTGCCGTGGTCGAGCAGAGAAAGTGTATCGAGCCCCCCTCAGCCCAACTTAGAGGCCGCTGTCTGACATCGTTTGCTGGGTAATTGCGACGCTGGTGTCGATGCGCACGCGTTTTCGTATGCGCGACATGTAGTCGGCGATAAAGTGCAGAGTCAGCTGCGTGCTTCGTATTTGGTGGCCTTATCAATCGGAACACCGTTAGCAGCGATCGTACGAGAAATTTCTTAGTCGGCCGAGGAAGGTTTGAAACATATGGAAGGAGCTGAAGGACTGACTGGATACGCCCACGCAACCTCATGTCATCGAATGACTAGGATGTGAAAGATCCCAAACGTGTGGTACCGAAAAGAGCGACGCGCAGCGGGGAAAGGGAGGCTGCACAACTATACCAGTTCCAGCGGTCCCGCCAAGCCTACTCCACAATTCTGGTTGTTGCTAGGTGTTACTAATCGCGTATCATATCTCCATACTCGCTCAAGAGGCTCGGGCTGACCATGGAAATGTTGTTGATCATCAGTAACGCTCTTGTCAACGTCTACAAGTAGATCGGGGTGACAGCGTCGAGGTTACGTCGCATCAGTGATCATTGTCTGGTAGCGGACTCTGCAACTGTCCGCGCGGCCCCGCTCGTTTGCGTGCAAACACTTGTCACGGAGATGTACAAACAGTTGTCTACTGATAACGTGGTTGAGAGACAATGCCGGAACGGTGGGGCGTGGTTGAATGCGGAGAGTGTTCCAGCAGCCTCTATAGGATTGGCAACTGCAATTTGACGTCAAAAAGCCGCAAACTTTAGGTACTCAACATCTTATTCCCAGGTGGGAATACATCTTGTATTTTACAGGGTCCGTTCAGTATTGCCGCGTGTCCATGAGTGAATTCTTTTGCATTCGTGCATCAGTCAGCTTTGGCAACGCAATACTAGGTGTGGTTGATTCGTGTTCTTCACCCTAACATAGTAATGTCGCTATTGGAGGACTGCGTGCGGGAGCTCCACAACTTGTGGCC